AACTTGAGTTTTATGGTTATGTTTATCCAATTCACAATTCGATTCTTTACTAACTCCAACTTTAACCAACTTAAAAGTATTAAGAATCTAATATTTAGACTTTCATGTTTACTTGATGGGTTTTGTAAAACTACTAGACAATGATTGTACTTTAAATAATCCACGATTTGAAGTGAAAGAAACGAACTAATGAAGTATTCAAATCCATATTGTAAAGAAAATAATTGAACTCTGTTTTTTAAAAAAAATTTATATATTTTTAAAATACTGCATTAGGACGTCAATTTTTAGTCGACGGTTATTTAAAAGCGATGTCTAAAACACAAATATAAAAAATAAAATAGCGAAACAGATTTGCAAAAAATAATTTATTTGAATTGTCAAACTGCGGCTGTGGCGTAATCATGTGACCCATAAAATTGGTGGTCACCCTGGTCATGTCTGAAAAAGTGAAGCTTTTGCTTATCGCTTCTTTCTTTAAAAAATTATCACATTCACATCGCTTATATATTCCATTCGCTACTTTTTTGCATGTTTTGCAATATAGATGCGAATGATGATTACATTCGGTACAAACCCTATTTTTTCATAAATTTTTCTCCTGAGACGCCAAATATCGAGGCATCCAGGATGACCACCCCAAAAACAGGTCACATGACTGTTTCGTCAATGAGAAGGCTTATTGTTCTTTAAATAAATGAATTATACAGAACAATATACATATATACATTGTTTCTATTGCATAAAACATGTGACCCATTTTTGGTAGAGTTGGGGGCACGGCAAATTTTTGGGACATGCTCTCTATAGATATATATATCATATATTATCGTAATTAGCAATAGTAGGCTTTAATTCTAATTGGCCAATTTGATAATTGACCAATTATATAATAGCCCTATATCACATGATAAGTGCATATCTTTTGGTCAAAGGGCATGCCCTAGGCATGCCCCAGGGGTATGCTCCATGGGGCATGCCTCTTAATCCTATGCTCCCAACTCTAGTTTTTGGGGAGGTCATCCTAGATGCCTCCCAAAGATCTAATAGTAGAGTTTGGACATGGTGTCTGGGCTCGTCAAAATTGTGCAGAAAAGTGAAATAATTACATGGCGCAGTAGTCAGCAAATTAGTCATGGTTTTTTTATTTGAAATCTTATTGGAAGTAGCAAATTATTTTCTGTGATGTTCATTCAGCAAAGTATATTATATTATATTTGGTAGTGATCACTTAAAATAAAACCCGATATAGGAAATGCTTTATTAATATATGTTTAAAAATGCACGTATAAAAAAAATATGATGGCAGAGTTTAGACACGGTGTTTGAGCTCATCAAAATTGCGCAGAAGAAATGGTGCAGTACCTTCAGATAATTGGAAAATTATTTTTCATGATGTTCAGTAAAAAAAGTACTTTATACAGTATATATACCCTAAGATATATGTATTCTATCACGTGATTTTAATTTTACATATTTAAATTTTGTATAACAATTATAACCAATTACACATATATATAATTACTATACTAAAAATCTAAAAAACAATCTTATACAAGCAATGCTAATAATTCCTTTAATATAAACCCTAACCCTAATGTAATGAACTTTATATATTAAAAATGTTGAATATAATCTTAATAAAATATACAACGCACATATTTTAATATCATCTATAAGCTTTGCAATCATTATACGTAGTAAAATCTGTTTAATACTAATACGGGACAGAAAGATGTTATAAATCAGTCATATACTTGTTACACATTTTGTCATGTTTATATTTGCATCGAATTAAATATGTAGTATATATGTACGTATGTACGTACATATATGCAAAATACCTCAGCCAACACAAATATATCACGATATGGAAATACACATTTGGATGGACGTAAGAAAATTATAAAACCCTTATACGAAAAAAGGACCATTTAACGCACTTGCTCTAACCCTAATCATTAAAATAGGATTACTTATAGAAATCGAATTTTGCTAGCTTAAAGCTTAAATTAACTATGCGTATAGCCAAAAATTTAATATAATTTTCATACTTTAGTTCGAATCTGTACTTCCATACAGTACTACTGTATTTACTGAATACCTGGTCCACATTACTAAAATTAATTCAATTATATCTTTGAAGTTCTATATAAACAAATATTATATAATCGAATAAGTTGAATATTCAACCGTTTTTGATTTTAATAACCTATGAACTTCCAAAATTTGAAACTACTTATCACAATAATATTTACTTGCATATGTATATAAAATACTAGTGTGGTTATTTCAACATTGCAAACTGATCCAGTGATTATTAAAATTGATTTACTCAAATTCAGGGTTATTATGTGTTTAAATTTAACAATTTAAATGTCAATAATCTCAATTCATTTTAGCACAATTGACAGCTATACAACAATTTTAAACATATAAACATCATTTGAATATTACCAAGAAAACCTGAAAATAATATTAGATAAAATTTTTAGGTTTTCTTTATATTTAATATGAATATAAAATATTTTGTCATTTGTGTCATGCTTCGCAACCAGCTTTGTTATGACTGGTATTTTAACATTGTTGGCATTGAGTTAGCTTCCTAGTCTTTTGTGCATTTGAATGCTCTTTGACACTAGACTTTTTTTTACTATCTAATTCATGGGACCTCTTAAATCATTTTTTCTTTGGAGCGTCATTTCTTGTATGAACTACTGGATTTTCAATTTCTATAAAATTTTCTTGTCACTAGAGCTATAATCTGAAGTGGTTTCATCTTCCTCTTCCTGTTGTATTTTACTGTTTTGTGAATGACTTTTTTTTTTTTTTTTTTGGTGCATACTTATTAATAAAGTCATTCATAAAATCCTCAAGTTCCCTTATTGCATTAACACCAGCGTCTAATCCAGTTTAGATGGCTTTTTTTGACAATCCATTAACTGTTACATAGGCTTTGCGGTAATTAATTTTTGAATAAACATCATTAAAAGGAATATTCGGCAAACAAAATGACAACTCAGAAAAAGATTCTTCAGTATGAGTTGAATTTTTTGTACTATCCAATCCAACAATGAAGGAACGTTGAGATGTTTGGGATTTTGATTCAAGTTGTTTCTCATCGCTAAACCATCTTTTTGATATAAGCATGATATGGAATGCAGCATAATTCGAAACAGCCATGATTTGAAAAAAATGTCTACAAACAAACCCGCATTGAATTAAACCTAGACATATGCATAAATGTATATTGTCATTGAACAATACGACATAATTTTTAGTCTTACGTCTATGTCGGATAACCTTCCAAATTTTAATGATAGACTTAACTTTTGAGGTAGAATTAATTCACTAAGTAAAACAGCAGGTGTATCAACAGCATCTTCAATAAATATATCAAACACCTTATTTGAATCAAACTGTTCAATTAAATCAGATAGTTCAGTTGAATCAGATAGTTTAGTTGGGTCGGATAGTTCAGTTGGGTTGGATAGGCCAGTTGGGTTGGATAGTCCAGTTAGGTTGGATAGTTCAGTTGGATCAAATAGTTTAGTTGGATCAGTCAAATTAGATAGTTCAGTCAAATTAGGTAATTCGATTGAATTGGATTGCAATCCTAAATCTTCAAAATTGTCAATAAGGCATGATGTATACCAGATAGCTTGAGCAATCTCCTGTCGTTACATAAACAAGAAGGCTGGTGTTAGATAAATAGTAATCCATTGGTTGATTTTGGGTGAAAATTCAGAACTAGCGTGAGTAAGTATAGATCTTGTGATAGAATGAATCTAATTTTTGTATTGAATATAAGTGGAAGCCCGATCAATTTGTTCATCAATATGCTTAACGAGATTTATTAAAGATGTACCGCCATTTACTAAATTTTTTATTATGGTAATTTGATTTTCAATTCTTTGTGTGGATTGCATTCCAGCATTAAAGACCTTTGAGGTGTAACAAATAGCCCAATACTTTGTTTCATTTAAAAGAGCATGATTGAGGTATGAAGCAGCCTCAGGAAATTCCATTAAAAGTTTATTCCATAAATAATAAAACTGTTGACGTGAAGGAGAGTTAT